TGTCACACCCCTGTCACACCCCTGTCACACCCCGCCGGGGACTGTCCCCATGGCCGCGCCTCCTCCCTTGCCTTGCCCTCTGACCTGCGGCTTCCCCGGGGCCTCGTGGCACCAGCCCAGGGGTGGCAGCGGTCCAGTGCCACCCCTGTCACTGTCCCGGTACTGGGTTGTAACCTGTGCCCCCCTGGCTGTGTTGGTGTTCAGGGTGGGGCGCCGCTCCTGGGCTCTCCCTTGCAGCCCCCATCCCGCGCCCCGTCAGGCCCTGCTCGGTCCCCTCCATCCCTTGGGGACAGGTGGCTCGTGCCACTGGCTGGGCAGGTCGGGCTCTGCCAGGTGCCACAGGGGACAGAGCCGGCCAAGCCGGCTGGACGAGGAGGAGGAAGAGGAGGAGAAGGAGCAGGAGGAGGCCCTGCCGGGAGCCTCCCGCTGCCAGAGCCACCTCTGGGGACGTCATTACGGGCACTAATAGTCACCTGGCACAAAGACGTTTCCAGCTGCCGGCAGTGCTCCCACGGCACCGGCCGCTCTTCAGGGGCTGCCCCGGCCTCCCAGCCCTGCTGCAGGATCCCTGAGCACCTCCCTGGCCTTGCAACAGCCCTGCAACAGCCCTGCAACAGCCCTGCAACACCCCAGGGCCCCTGGCCTTGCAACAGCCGGCAGTGCTTGCACCAGCTGGACAAGGAGGGCTCCGGAGCCCTGGCAGCTCCCGGCTCCTGCCACTCTCTCCACAGATCCTGGGGCTCCTGGGGAAAGTTTGGGAGCTTTGGGTGGGCTCCAGATCCTTCCTGACCCCGCTTTCCCTCGCAGCTTGCAGCCCTGTGGAGCGGCCGTGGGCCCATCCCAGCCTGGCACCATGAACGTCTTTGACCGCAGCATCAACTTTGATGCCCTCTTCAAGTTCTCCCACATGTGAGTGACACACAGGCAGGGCAGGGGGTTCAGGGGGCTGTGCCAGCCCTCCCTGCCCCCCTCACCACCCCCTCCTCACCCACAGCTCGGCCTCCACCCAGGAGCACCTGAAGAGGGTCTATGGCAGCTTCGCCCTCTGCATGTTTGTGGCAGCTGCGGGCGCCTACATCAACGTGGTGACCCACCTTTTCCAGGTGAGGGGCCTTTGAAGGGCTGCAGGTGGCACCCCCAGCCCTGCACCACCCAGCTGAGGCAATGCCCAGCCCTCACCTGCCTCTCCCTCTCAGTTTGGGCTCCTGACTGGCCTGGGCGCACTGGGGCTCATGGTTTGGCTCACGGCCACCCCACACAACCGTGAGACCGAGCAGAAGCGGCTGGGGATGCTGGTTGGCTTCGCCTTCCTCACAGGTAGGTGGGCACTGGGACTACCCCCCACATCCCATGAGACCCCAAATCCTGCAGAGGGGCCAGATGAAGCCCCCCAGAACAGCTCTGATGATACCCAGTTCTGTCCTTCCAGGCATCAATCTGGGACCTCTCCTGCAAATGTGCATCTCCATCAACCCCAGGTAGGAGACGCTCCCACAGACCCTGTCCCCACCTCCAGCTGCCACACAGATCCTGTTCCCTCCACTGATGCCCCCCAGGTTCCCCCAAAACTCTCTGACCCCCTTCTCTTCACCCCCCAGCATCATCCCCACTGCCTTCCTGGGCACTGCCTCCATCTTTGCCTGCTTCTCACTGAGCGCCCTGTACGCCCGGCGCCGCAGCTACCTCTACCTTGGAGGTGAGAGGGGT